CAGTTGTCACAATTGTTAAATTCATGCGTAGTCATTAATTCCAGGACACTTGTATAAAAATTTATTGCCTCGCTGGATAAAGTTCAGACACACTTTGATCAACAGTAACGTTGTGGTTCAACTTGACTTGTTTTAATCCCTTTTAGGGGTAATGAATACTATAAAACTAAAGTGAACTATAATTATTTATTTTTTGTTTTTTTTTTTTATAAGACTCTAGGATATCAGCATTACAACACTCGCAGCTTTTAAAGGGTTGTGTGTTGAGTGTTTCAAAGTATAATATTGCACCCATTCACGAACGTCTTAGAAATGCAATTTAAAATTGATATAGCTCCACTTAACACGAGCCACGGACTCAAGCTCATCTCTGATATGCACACATTAACTGACTGGGAACAAGGAACATCCTCGAAATGGGTCGGTATACATAAACTTAAAGCGCCGATGAGGGACATTACATTATTGAGTTGGCAATGGCCGTCGATAGTTTGCGGTGGAATGGTTGGGCCAAAATCGGGAATCGGGAAAACGGGGAACTTGGGAATCGGGGGAATTCGGGGCAAGTGCTGATGGAGATGGCGATGGAAGTGCAGGTGGTGGGTTCGTGGCTTGGCATCCTGGCTCCTGCGGTGCGGTGCTCGGGCATTAGTTTGACATTTACTTGGGCACGTCGTTAGCAGCTGAGTGCCACATGCACCCACGCACGTGTGTGCGTTACCCGAACACTGCGAAAAATATATACTAGGCTTTTTATTTTAAAATAGGAGTCACTAGCACAAAGCATTTTTTAATTGCATATTTCAGATGCTTATTTTGTATTTAAGGTCATGTGACATTGGTTGTACGTTGAAATAACTGACTGAAAAAAGCGCAGCCACAATACTTTCAGCAGTTAACTGCTTGCTTTTAAATCTGCTTTCATACTGTTCTCCAAATGGGAGACTCGCCTGTCCGCCTGTTAAATTTTAAGCTTTATTAAGCCTTGGTAAAGATTTTTCGAAATTGCTCTATATCCTTGAATACTACAACTAAAAGGATTAAAAAAACTTTAGATATAACCTAAAAATGCCATTTTATTCAAATTGTAAGGGCAACGTTTAAGTTTGCTCAACAATTATTCAGACAAATTCGCAGCTTTTTCCGCGAAAGAAAGAATGAAAAGAAAAGAGGAAAGTATATAAATTTCACGTTAAGCGGATTAACAAACGTACTTCTCTTCCATACAAATTTGTGCGCAAAATAATAATCTTACTTTTAATAAAAACAAAATTTTAACGATTCTTTATATGTTTACTTTAAATAGTAATTAATTTTGAAATCATAGCTGTTAAACTTAAATTGCTATTAATTGACTTACCTTTTAAGTCTCTATTGTAATGTGTGAAAAAGATCGATTGTTTCTGTAATTAATCGATCTGAGTGGTTTTCATTACTTCATATAACTGACCGTCATAATTTGTTTACAATTGCTTTCAATTTAAAAGTTTTAACCTCTCGGGTGTATATTAAAATAAAAACATCGTTTACGTTATCATCATATTCTGTAGTCTAGTAGTTAGATTAATTAATTGCAAGGTGATCATTTCGTTCAGTGTAATCAGGGACCGTGTGTGTGAACGCCTCTCTAATGCTCTTGCCATGGCACAGCAATTCAAATAGTTGAAATTGTTTGAGCTTGATTTAGGCAGACACACCTCAACACAAACACACCTTGGACATAGCGACAAGTTATTTGAAGCACTTTAGCCGTCAGACCACCACCCACTACCCACCCACCCATCAGACCATCTGAAAAGCACCCACTGAACGCAGCCCTTCCACACTCTCTCATAATGTTTCCCCAGCCAGACCGAAAGCACAACAAATTAAGCCTTTTAACAAACACAAACAAAAGTCCAATTTGTTGCCAAGTTGTGACGCTGTCCAAAAAGCAAAGCCGTTAACAGCACTACACCTACAAAAAAAATGTATACAATGTGATTCACTTGATGATTGTAAATAAAGTTTTGAACTTGCAATGTAAAACAATGAAAATATTGTATAATGATATCATAATAAAATGTATCAATCTGAGATAATGGGGTGACGAGGGTTTTGAATTAATTTCCAAATGTACCGAAAAGAAAAATATAAACTATGTCTTTAATAGAAAAAATAAATATATTTCTTTTCTTTTTTTGTACACGTTTGATTTTAAAACCCTAGCTGGTTCTGTATTACCATTCAATATAAGCATTGATAATATGGTTTGCCAAAATTATCAAACATCACCAATATAAAAAAAACACATAATAGCCTGGTCCTTTTTAACCTTTTCAATGCGACTTTATACTTCCTAAGCCACATTATTTTGATATAATTTCTATTATGTTTCGGTTAGATGAGATAAATATGAACAAATTGTTTTCTGTGCACATCCCACTCTGGAAGCAAATTTCACCCCCTTGACACTTGCCGCCCCCGATTGTCGGAGGTGAAAAACTTTTGGCGCTCGCCTCCGTCCGCTTCTGTTTGACTTAGATAATAGCGCAATGAAATTTGCGTACACCCCCACCATCCACCGTCCTAAAGAATCTGTTTCGCCTTTTCGCATCCGTAGCTGATGAAATCAAACAAATTGTAGCGTGGAAAAATTTTAGTCTTGACTCTAGATTTCGTCATGTATTTTATGGCCACTGGGCATGGTCATGGCCCCCTGTGGAATACAGAGGGCGGAGTTCAGAAAAAGGCGACGCAAGGTTTTGGATTTGTAGAGCAATGCTTCTTTTGAATGAACGCCTTCCCTTTGGTCGTTTACATACTTTTCTGGCTGGGCAAATACTTGTTTATCTTAATTAAATGCTGTCGAGCATCATGAATGAATTATTCTGTGCAGCTGCAACACAACCTGAATTTTACAAAATCCCTACAGGAATGTCTCTGGCAAAGGGATTTTAACTTTTAATTCACAAACAAGGCATCTTTAGCACAAAGCATTTTTCGTTACATATTTCAGATGCTAATCACCAGGTGAAAACCATAAAAGAGAAATTGTATTTAAGGTCTTTTGGCACTGGTTTTAAGTTCAACTGACTAGGTGGAAAAAGTGCAGCCACACTATTGTCAACAGTGAACTGCTTGCTTTCAATACTGCTTGTCTGCATAAATCTTTTCTACGAAACTCGCGTTGTAAATCCCAGTATAAGGCATTTGATAAATGTACTTGGAAATGGTTTATCACTAAGATTATTTTGACTCTGTGTTTACCCCAACTAAACAGAAAGCCGAACCAAATAATATAGCGCCTTAAGTCATATTACTCAACATCAAAACGATAATACATACAGGATATATAGTATGTATTATCGTTTTGATGTTGAGTAATATGACTTAAGGCGCTATATTATTTGGTTCGGCTTTCTGTTTAGTTGGGACTTAAGCTACCCGATGGGGACTAAGCTCCTCCTAATTGCTAGATTTTCCAGATTCTTCCGCTCGAAGCCCGCTTAATTACTATCAAATCCTGATCTATGCCACATGAGACTCCACGAGCCCCCACGGTGCGAGTTTCGGCCAGATTCAGTGCAAACAAATCGCAGCACACGACGAACAGTAAGCCAGACCAAACCAGAGCAGCTCCTAACAAACCAGACCACAGCACTAAGCTTCCTACATGAGTAATCGTAATCCCGAAAAGTTTCGCAGGGGAAACCAACTCATAACCCGTAATCATCGCAATTAGTTTAGCCCGATGATGACGACAACGGTTGCCAAGCCGGCAAATGTAGAATGGAGAATGGAATGGGAAACGGGGAGCCAGCGTAAATCAGAGAAATACTGCTATGTCGTCATAGGAGCAGCAATCAAAACAGGTGCCAAGCCAAATCTTGATAATGGCGACTTTAAAATACCATTCAATGAAGTTTATACAATGTTTAACTACAACTTATAATCACAACGATTTAAAATATGTAATTAATAAGTGGTGTTGAATCTTTTATAGTTCAACATTTATTCAATTTTAAAGAATTTTTAAAATATTTATTCTTTTCATTAAAGGATATACACAATATTAAAGTGTATACGCAATATTAAAGTATATACTGAACATCAAAGTATATAATAAATTTTAGAGTATATACAGAATATTAAAGTACATACTGAATTTAAAGTATATACTGAATATTTTTGGAACAAATAAGTTTGTTTCTACTTTGGTACAATCACTTAACTTTATTTGGAATACATATTGAGGAGTGCAATACATTGTATTATAAATATTCCACCTTCCCAGCTTTTATAAACCAAAGAATTGACAAGAAATATACTTAGTGGTATAAAAAACCCTCCCCACTTTTTAAACGTTCTCAAACTTCCTAACGAAACGATATACCCAAAAGTGGGCTACATTTAATGGAAACGACAAATCAGTTAACCGAATCACGGTGCAAATAAAACCTCCCATTCGCGTGGACAGTCGCAGCCGGAGTGATCACATATACGACAAGACTGTTGATACTGTTGATACTGTTGATGATGCGGATGATGGGGGAGCCCATAAAACCGCTAAATAAACAGGGAGGCGCTTAATTGTTTTTATGCCTGCCACAAAAACGGTGTGGGGTTGATGGATGAAAGGTCAACTGCCGGGGCCACCTTTTTGAAAAGGAAGTTTTGTAGGGATCACCTTTTCGAAATGGAGGTTTTGAGGAGAGGTTACCATCTTAAAGATGTGGGTTTTGCGACTCCTCGCCAATAGCTTCTTATGCAGGGTAATCGGAATCTGCCAACTGACTAATTAGAAAGTTTACTAATAATTTTGGTTGAGGAATAAAAACTTCAACTGCTTGCCCAATGGACTCTTTATGTCGCAGGGTAATCCTAAGTCTCTAGATTTTCGCAATCTGCATCAGCATCGCTTGTTTTTTCTCTCGGCCATTGTCAAACAGAAATGATTTGAGGCCCCAGCGCTGACTGAAAGATATAACGTAACCGTCCAACGCCTCAAGTTCAGTTGGCAAAGGCGATCCGAGCACAAAGCTTCACCACAATGAGTGAATCTCGAGAGTCCCGAGAATCGGAAAGCAAGTTGCCCAAGATTCCAGAGCAGCAGGAAGATGCAGCGGCGTCGGCGGCGGCGGATTTTGAGACAGCCATCGATTCAGCTGGCTTTGGGATGTTCAACATCCTGCTGCTGGTCGCAGCCGTTCCAGCGGCAATGGGCACCGTCTACGAAACATCCACCATGTCCTACATCCTGCCCAGCGCCGAGTGTGACCTCAAGTTGAGCCTGCTGGACAAGGGCATCCTGAATGCCATCACGTATGCGGGCATGATCAGTTCGGCGGTGATGTGGGGCTACCTGGCCGACACGAAGGGCAGAAGGAATCTCCTGATCGTGGGCTATGCCGCCGATACGTTTTGCGTGTTGGGCGGCGCCCTCAGTCAAAATCGAATCCAGCTGATGGTCTTTAAGTACTTGGGAGGCTTCTGGTGAGTGGTAGCTAATCTCAGTAATGCCATAAACAGAGATGATCTCGATGTGTCACACATCACATAGCATGAGTGGTCCCTTCGCCGTGCTAATGGCCTATTTGACGGAACTACATGGACGGCAGCATCGTCAGCGCATCATGATGGTGGTGGGCATTATGTTTTCCATTGCCACGCTAACGCTGCCCGGCTTGGCCATGCTGATATTGCCCCAAACGTGGAGCCTCCACATCTGGACTTTGTCGCGTAAGTCAAGTCAAGTTGCTAAAGCGTGTTACTACCCGTGTTTAATTGTGGAAAGGTCAGCGATAGGCGGTGATAACTGATAAGTGATAAGAGAGAGCAGCTGATGATACGGAAGGCCCCTTCCCAAATGGTAGCAATCAGTCAGACGATTCATTAACTCCACGCGCCGTTCAAGTTGTTATAGCTATCTAAATATAGGCGACTTTAATGATTTAGATCAAGTGAATTAGCAAAAGTAACAATAAAATAAAAACAAACGATAGGTTTGACAAAAGCCAACACACTTTATGACATAGATCAAGTTTATTAAGCAGAGAAAGTTGGTGTATACAAATAGTAAAGTTACCAAACAGGTGCTCCAGACACCATAACAAATATTAAATATTAGACAATTAAGCAAATCAAAAGGAACTAAGTACTGATTTAGTAATAAAAAAAAATTTATAAAAAAAAAATGTATAAAAAAAATTGCGAATTTAGCAAAGCCAAAAAAGCAAATGGGAAAAAGAATACAAAAATTTATCAAATAACCTAATTTTCGTTTTCAGTGACATCATGGCAAATTTTCGTTGCCATCACAGCGTTACCCAGTCTCCTGAGCTTTGTGCTATTCTTTTTCTTTCCCGAGAGCCCAAAGTTTCTCATGTCCAAGGGACGCAATCAGGAGGCCATGGATGCCTTCAAATTCATCTACCATCTCAACTCGCGAAAGCCCAAGGACTCGTTTCCAGTATGTAAAAAGTGTTTAGCGTTGATCACTAATAACTAATCCCGAATCAAAAACTTCCTAACAGATAAAAATGCTGGCCAATGAAGTAACCGTTCCAGTGAAAAAGCACAAGGAGGGAAAGAGTGTGCCCACAGAAATCAAACTGCCAATCGAAAGTGGTGAGGCCCAGGATCCAGAGAGTCAGGATTCTAAGAAGAGCTCGCTGCGATCGGGTTTCACCCAGCTTCGTCCACTTTTCACTAAGCCCTACTTGGGCCTATCTCTTTGGGTGTACTTGCTCAATTTCTGCGTGCTATTGGGGTGAGTTAAACCTCAATAAATAATCGTTTTGACATTTTCAATATTTCATATTCGGTCCAAAATAAATGAAAAATCATTAAATTGGTCATCTTGTTATATTAAATTTAATTCTATACAATCCATACATGTTAATAGTTAAATAATCTCCCTTTTTAGGCAGAACACTATGCGTTTGTGGCTGCCACAACTATTTGCTTCGATCAACGAGTACGAACAGTTGATGGACGGACAGTCGGAGTCGACGAGCATATGCAGTATTCTGGAGTACAGTGTAAATCGTACCCAAAACCAACTGGAGGCAGCCACTCGAAATGATCCCGATGTCGAGTGCCATGTGAATATCACCGCCTCCACATACACCAACAATCTGATCGTGGCTGGTGCTGGATTTGTGGCATATATGCTGGCTGGATTCTTAGTTAATCTGGTTGGCGTCAAGCGTATCATGAGTAAGAATTTAAGTTTCATTTTAGAGCTCATAACTTGACCCATTGACCGATTTTAAAGAAGCCTACTCTTATTGAGTGTTGGGGTGTACCTAACTACTTGTACCTAGTTATAGTTTTTGGCACCTTTACCTTATCTAATTTTAAAAATATGAGACTACCTTTAGCCTTACCTAGATAAAGATTTTAATTTTTAAGAAGAATATACTATGTTCTAATATTTCAATACTATAGTTCAGTCTTGTTTTATTTTCGCAAATATGCAAAAAAACAACTTGGAGATACCTAGATACTTGTACCTTGTTACAATTTGTTGTACCTTTACCTAATCTAGTTTAAAAAATATGAGGCTACCTTTGAGGCTAAAGATTTTTGATTACATTTTTAAAAATGTTATTTAAAATATGTGTTTTTTACTTTTTTTTGTACCTTTAGCCTTAACTATATTTACAAAAAAATTGTATCTTTTACCTTAACTATGTACTTATATGCGCAAATACATTGTACCTAACCTAGATCCTAAAAACACTAAACCTAGATCCAACACTACCTCACATGTATTAAATCAAAATATTCCAAAACGATCAAAGAAGAGATTCAATATAACTTTTATACTTTTTATTTGAAATTTTAGCCATGGGACTCTTCATAGCCGGCTGCTGTTCCATTATGATGTACTGGTCCAATTCAGCGATATCCACAGTGGCGATTGCTTCGCTTTTTGTGACCATGGGCAGCATATCGGCCACTTCGGTGATCAGTGCCTCAGTAAATCTCTTTCCCACTTCACTCAGGTGAGTGGTTGTTTTGTACTATTTCGTAATTTATATTTCTTATTGGTTATTTTAAATCCATTAAGGACAATGATTGTCTCGCTGGAAATGATGTTCGGTCGTCTGGGTTCGCTGTTGGGCAACATTTTTTTCCCGGCATTGATGGGATTGGGCTGTGTGCCCCCGTTCTTGATGATCAGTTCGTTTATGCTGGGTAAGTTGCTTAAATGAAATGTTTTTGCCATGCTGATTCCTAATCGTTCCTCGCTTTTTTTTTCTTTACAGCTGGCTGTCTGATGGCCGCCTTTTTGCCGCTGAAAAATAAGGCTGCTTTGAAGTGAACTGCCGTAACTACATAGTTTCCAACTCAGATTTCATTGCACTGCACTGTACATAGTATTTAACTTAGTTCTTAGCTTAGTTTTTCGTGCCCAAATTTATTACACTCTTGTTCTGATTACATATTAATTTAAACCTTTTTTTTATTATTGCTTATTAATTAAAGCAATAGCAAGCTGAATTTTAAGGTCATTGCTCAAAACAATTCAATCTGCAAGGATATTTCAAGATTCGATTGCCTTTCTTTTCCCATTTTTTTTTGTTTGTTGTCCTTTTAGCCTTGGCTTAATTAAAAGTTAATTTATTTTAGATTGAAAGTTTCTAGGATTAAGCAATTTGTATGCAATTTCGTTTCGCTTGTCAATTACATGAATTTCTCTCCATCAATTTCCATAAACCGCTGGCACTTATCAATGCATCCTTGAGTTGGTTGGTAGTGGGGAATAGCTGGCTGTGATTCCTGATTCCTGTTTTCTGCTCTGCCCTCTGATGTCCTGCCACTGAGTTGGCGTTAAAAGTGAGTGCACAAGAAGTCAAGCAGGAAATGCAGGCGGGGCTCGGAGAAAATGACAGCCCGGAATTATCACGCTTGCCAGTATAAGATTGTGACATTCCGCCCCGGACAAATTGAGTTTGGATTCAAGGACTCGAGGCTGGAGTATCCCCTCGTTCAGCGATGGTGAAAATGAAGACACAAACACTTGGCCCCCTTCGATTCGACAGTGTTATTGATTAAAATCATTAAATAAATCATGCTTCGTAAACACAAATCCTTTTCATCTTAAATTCAAGAATTTAAAGCACTTAAATGCAACAACAACAAACAATACTTAAATGCAAATGATAGGCATGAAAATAGGTTTTAGGGAATAATATAAATTTGTTTTGCCACTGGGCCTGCTGCATTGCTTTGCCATTTTAATTAATTAATCCACTCAGTCATAGGTTTTGAGTAATTGGCGAACCAGAGAGAATCGCTTAACAAGGAAAACGATTAGTGCCAAAAACACCAGTCTAATTAGACCAAAGGGCCGAAATTCCTCTATACTATATATATTTACAGTGCGACTTCTTCTTTCATCGAAACCGAAATGGAAATGGAAACGGAAACGAAAATGCCGCCCTAAGCCAACCAAGTCTTTAAGTTGAAATAAATTAAGTGGTTTGTGCTATCCTGGACATCTCAAATGGCCATTTTGCCATTTATCTGCGGACACATAATGGTGGTTTGAGTTACTGAACTTCCACTGTACCATAATCGCTCCCAATGTCCTCCAGCTGGAGACCCCGAGACCCCGAGAGCTGAGAGCCTTATCTTCGCTTGGAGGCGTTGATATACGAGCGTGCACTCAACCCAAATGGAAATGCTAATTATCTGACAACGGAGCGGCTCGCTCAACTCGAAGTTTCAACGTTTGGAGGCTCGACTTCCAGCGATATGGCTAGAATGATTTCACAAATGCTTGAAATCAGCGACAAGAACAAGCCACGACGGAAAGTTTTAATTAAAAACTTTCGGCTCCTCGCTGACTTTTAAAACCCCAAGTCGGAGGCCGCTGCTAATGCGATGCTAGAGCATCGATAAAGACCCTCGCAGACCCAAGGTGAACCTCTACAGGTTGTCTTTCCGGAGAGCAACGGACAACCAACGTCACGCTCACACTGCTAGAAAATAAATTTATAAAAATATCGAAAATATCTTCAGCACTTCATAACTTAATGTTGAATTTTCCTCATCTTAGCTTTGAGAAAACTATAAATCTGGCACGAAAATCAGCATTAACAATCTTATTTACATCATTTGAGCAACATGACGCGATATTGATTGAAATAAAAGAGAGAATTGGCAAGAATTGGATTTTAAAATTGAATTGTGAGACCAAAAACTTAAAAATAGCTAATATACAAATAAATCAGACTCTTAATTAACCCAAATTAATTAAATTGATAAAGCATTTTAAAACATTTTAACTAACGGATTAAAAGGATCTTAGGGTTTCTAATTTTTTTCTATTTTTTTATATTTTTTTGTTCAGAGCTTAATCAAGACCAAATCAAATTTAAATGGGTAAAGAGTACAGATGGGTTTTTGAAGCGTTTTAAAAATTCTTATTATGAGTATGTTACTTCGAAATCAATAATTCAAATGGGTAAAGTTATGTATGTATTTTTAAGCATTTTAATAATTCATATTAGCAAATTTTACGGCATCTTGAAAATCAACAATAAATCTCTTTAAAAATAAAACAAAACAAACAAATCATGGTCTTAATAAAACTCCCTCTCTCTAACATGTGAAACTTTTCCATTTTTTTTTCCGGTAATCACAGATAACACATTATTTTTTCCCTAGGTGCAGGTGTAATCTTATCGGTGCGTCCATAAATACCAGCTGCGGAGGAGAACCGATCACCAGTCGTCCAAGATGAGTCTCAGCAACAAGGTGGTGATCGTGACGGGAGCCAGCAGCGGCATTGGAGCCGCCATTGCCCAGGTTTTGGCCCGCGAAGGTGCCACTTTGGCGCTGGTCGGCCGCAATGTGGCCAATCTGGAGGCCACGAAGAATAACTTAAAGGGCACGCAGGCGGAGATTGTGGTGGCCGATGTGACCAAGGATGCGGAGGCGATTGTCCAGCAGACATTGGCCAAGTTTGGACGCATCGATGTGCTGGTGAACAATGCCGGCATCCTGGGCAAAGGTGGCCTCATCGATCTGGACATCTCGGAGTTCGATTCGGTGCTGAATACCAATCTTCGTGGTGTTATTCTGCTAACGAAGGCGGTGCTGCCGCATCTCCTCAAGACCAAGGGAGCCGTGGTCAATGTGAGCAGCTGTGCGGGCATTCGTCCATTTGCCGGTGCTTTGAGTTATGGCGTCTCGAAGGCGGCCCTCGATCAGTTCACCAAAATAGTGGCCCTCGAAATGGCACCGCAAGGTGTGCGCGTGAATTCGGTGAATCCCGGCTTTGTGGTTACCAATATCCACAAGAACATCGGCATCGTCGACGAGGAGTATAATGGCATGCTCCAGCGGGCCATCCAATCGCATCCCATGGGCCGTGTGGGCGATGTCACCGAAGTCGCCGAGGCCGTGGCATTTTTGGCCAGCTCCAAGGCCAGTTTCACCACCGGAGCACTGTTTCCCATCGATGGTGGCAAGCATAATTTGACGCCTCGATAAATTACTTTACTACATTACTTCCCATCACTTATAAATACATTTTTTTTATAATAAATAAGCTGTAACCACTCTTAAACATATGTAAGTGTTTTACACCAATGGGTACGGAAACTTTTAGTATTTCAAATGAAAAACACGAATAAGAGACATACACTTAACAGCAAATACTTTAAGCATTATCAATTGACCTGACTGCCTTTCTTTGCAAATGACAATATCTGTTTGCACTTATATTTACTACAAAGAAATCAACATCAATATTTGCGACAAGAATAGTTAAAAAGCTAATTTAATGCCTTTCAGATTCATATACATAGACTAATAACAATCTTCTATTTCCTTGTTTTAAGATTTAACAGCCTCATCTTCATAATACCTTGCTAATTGATATCGTTTTCCTTAAAGCCTGAGTTATATTCCTATATTTACAAAATTTTTTACTTTTATTTGCTATTAAAGAGAATCTGCTTCTACTTTTTTTTTTAAAGATTTCACACCCTCGCCCTATTGTCCTACTAATGGCTACAACGTTTTCTAAAGCCTAAATTATATTATATATATCAAGGCAAATGCAATAAAGCTTTTTATATAAATTACGTGTTTATTTCTTAAAAAAGAATAATAAAGCACCATTTCAGAATGTGTCACTTCATAAAATCTTACTGATATTATTTTTTTGTAAACACATTACATTTCTATAAAGCAGAAAATTGACTTTTGTTCTTCTTAAAGAAACAGAATTAAGGTGTTTATTTCTTTAAAAAGTAATAATAAAACACCTTTCAAACTGTCGCCTGAGTGCCTGATTCGGCTTGTTTTGCGGGGTGACCCCAAAATGACCGCCATGGTTGCTGTGTCAGACACTTGACAGACTTATCGGTCCCATCATCAGCCGGTAGTTGATAAGGTGCCTTGTCAGCGCCAGGGGAACCAGACCGCAGAGCTGTTTGCTGCGGTTTAATCTCCGCCAGCTTCTTATCAGGAAGCAGTCGTTGATGGCAGGGGATTTCACTTCATATTTTTGGAGGTGTGCAGGGGACATACGCGTGTTTTCCCCTTTGCGGTCAACGTTTCATACGCTGGTAATGTAGGTCATAATTGTCATTGATTCATGAGTCCCCGCCCCTTGAGTTGAGTGGACAATTCGGGACTTTCGGACAACTTTGGGACGAGCTTTAAGGGGAGTGGTGAGAAGCTGTTGAGCTTAGCTGAGACTAAGCTTTTAAGCTCTCACTTAGCTCTGTGTCCAAGTTAAGAACAAAGCTTTGTAAAAATTCAAGTTTATCAGGATCTTACTTAAGTTCAGATGACTTTAGCGTTGCCCAAAAGCGAAGTTAAACTTATATGATATATGTATACGTTATATTCCTTACAGTTTGAAAACGCTTTTAAACCATTCTCAAAAGCTTAAGTAACACACTATCTTCTAGATAAAGGTCACCCAAGTCAAGAACGTTTTCTTTTTAATTAAAACAAGGCAGAATCTAACAAAACTCATAACCCTTATAGTTGTTGCTTAAAGAAGGAAGAACACATTTTTCAAAAGCTGTCACTAGGATCCCTCACAAGTAACAACATCTATTTTATTGACATTATAACTTTAAAGTATATCATCGAAAAAGAAAAGAAGTCCATATAAAAAATTAATAATGAGATGATTTTGCAGAAAGGTAAACAACATTAAGAGAAGAAAAGCTTTTTTTAAGGACAATTTATAAAGAGTTGAAAAGGTATAAGCCCTTAAAATCTATTCCTTTGAACCCGAAAGCGGAATTTCAAAAGGAAAACCCTAAGTGTTCGAATGCTATGAAAGTATAAAAGCTGTGCAATCATTTAGGATAACAACCCATAGTGAAGCTCATCGAAAGCAACTTAAAGCTACAATTTCCACCCCCAAACAACCGAGAAACCTGAATGCAAAACCTCGGGAGAAAATGGCAGTGCGTCAGAAACCTTGGCAGCGCGCTCATCGTCTTTCAACCAACATATATTCCGTTGGTACCCAAAACTTTCTCGAAAGAGAGAGCAAGGGGAGCTGGGCCAGCTGGCACAGAAAGCGGAACACAAGCCAGCGATTGATTTTTCTCGAGAGCATTTGAAAACACGGAAAAAAGCGGAGGGCAAAATAAAACAAGCAAATACCCCTCGTGCAGTGTTTCCATATGGAAATGAAAATGTCAGAGTTGCAGGATGCCCACGGGCCCCACGAGCCCAAGGATTCGTCCGAAGGCCAGCAGCTGCCAGCTGGTGCTGTTTCTCCAGAAGATGAGGAGGAGGAGCAAGAAGAGCAGGAGGAGGAAGTGGAAGTGGAGGTCGAGCAGGACCAGGAGCAGCAGGAACTACTTAGCGAACGCTGGTCCCCTTTGGGTGCCAACTACGATGATGCGAATAGCGCCAGTTCGGGCGTGGATTGCGAACTGATGGAGCCGGGAAACGGGGAAAAGTCCGAAACGGGCAGCGAGCTGGCTCGCCTGCGAAGCATCGAGGAGGAGCAGGAGCTGCTCACCAGCTCGCTGCTGGCCCTGACCTCCCACTTCGCCCACGTCCAGCTGCGGGTTCGCCAGATTGTGGAGGCGCCGACGGAGGAGCGGGATCAGCTGCTGCGCGACCTCGAGGACTTTGCCTTCCAGGGCATTCCGGAGGCAGTGCAGCCCAAGGAATCCAAGGAGCCGGAGGCTGGCAACAACGATAGCCAGCTGATCAAGCAACTGAAATCTCAGCTCACGGAACTCGAACAGATTGCCTACGAAGCTGGAGAGCCAGGCATTCTGCCGCAGCATGTACTGCTCGAGAAGCAAAAGTTCATACTGGACGAGCTGCGTTCAAAGCTCAATCTCCAGGTGGAGCAGCACGAGCTGCCGGCCCTGAGCACGGAACAGCTGAGGCACCAAGTCGACAATGCCATCGGCGAGTTTGTGGGTCCGCTCAAGATGAAGGAGCAACTGGTGGCCCAGCTGAAGACGCAGATCACCGACCTGGAGCGCTTCATAGCCTTCCTGCAGTGCGATGCTGTCGAGGGATCCGTCGGTGATCGATTGAAGCTCCTCTCCGGGGCCTACAATAGCTATGCAGCCAAACAGACGGCACGCAGTTCGCAGGCAGCTGCGATTTCTGCCCCAGCAGCCGTAGCCATGGCCAACACTCCAACTCCGCCGCCTTCTTCACAGTCCACAGGAGGACCGAGTTCCCACAACCACTCCCCGAACGAGAGCCTGCACAGCAAGGCACACGGTCTGCTCGACAAGGCCTCGATCCTCATGCAGATGTTCGCCAGCACGCATCTGGCGAAGCCACGCAGCCACGACGAATTCCAGCAGAACTCGCTGAAGAAGACGCACAAGGGCAACCACTGGGGGTAAGATCAACTTATATCCTCGTAGAGGGTATTCAAATTCTAGTTAAAATTTTGCAGCATAGATGCTCAAAATTGCAATCCAATACAGTAGAGTAGAGTTCATTTGGATTAGCGATGAAGAAAAAACTTAATATTAATATTGTTGACTTTCCTCAATCTTATCGGTGACATAAAAAGGAGGAAAAAGTATTAATTTGGATTAGGCTTGGTATTCAGGCTACCAAAACGGGAAAGTATGCAGCATATAACTCCAAAACTGTTTAAATGACTAGTTTGCTTAGACGCGGACAAACGGACAGACGAATATGAACATTTGGCATTGATATATAGTAAACAAATGCCTTAGCAGTTTTGGTTTACTATCTGTTAAGTTTATGATCAATTTTAGAACAGACAAATGTCTAGTGGCTTTCGGCCATTTGGGAATTGTAAAGCAAGTGGCTCAAGCAGTTGAGAAGTTTGGGTTAGTGTCCTTGAAGTTTATTTAATATATAATGGTTAGATCTATTCAATTCCACCACCACATTAACAATGAAAACCAACCTGACATTGATGCTTCACTCACTTCAGGGATCTGCGTGCCCAGCTGGAGGTGGACATTCAGGAGGTGGCCGCACTGGCTGCCACTTTGAGCTGCGATCGCGAGAAGTTGGCCAATATCAAGCGGGCCCTGCGTCAGCAGCAGGCGGAGTCCACCTCCTCCTCCTCGGCAGCTGGTCATCCGGTGGTGATCAATTCGCAGAACGGAGCGCTGACCACCATGCCGCCTCGATGCCGGCGAGCAGTGCCAACTGGGCACGAGCTGGCTCCGTATGCGGCCGGCGGAGCCATATCCTCCGACTCCGACGAGGACATCAGCTACTCCAACTTCGAGTGGGAGAAGGAGCCGGGGGGCAAGAGCCGGCGGATGGCACACATGCGCGGCGATTCGATAGCCACCATTGGTCGCGAATTGACGACGGTGGTGCGCAAGAACTTTGCCCGCACGTTGCAGCAGCTAATCCAACATGGTCTGCGCATCCCAGCCGAATCGGCTGCCTCCAGTTTGATGGTGCCCTTCATGAGGTGTCTGCATCCTGGCTCCCAATCCCCACTGATCGCCACGACGGCAGATGGTGGTAGCGGAGACTCGCGATCGCAGCAATTGCTCGGCCTGGGCAGGGCCATGCATGCCTGGGAATTGGTGTTGGCCTACTACAGGTTGAAGCACGGCGAGGAGTACAACAATACGCCAGCGCGTAAGTTGTCGCAGAGCTTTCAGCTGGACATCGTGGACGCCCAGGCGGTGACCGCCAAACAGAGTTTGCTCAGCGCTGTGGGCATGATTTTGGCCATGCACCGGCCCTACAAGCGCAGCAACAACGCCCACTTCAAGGCCTTCGTCTGCGCCGGACTCAAGTGAGTAATATGTGTTGTCCGCGAAGGCTGGGAAATCAAAACAGAGTTAGTCATCAAGGTCTTCTATTACAAAACTGTGCAATTATATAGGTGCATAAATATATAATTACACAGTTTCGGTATTTACCCATATTCTCGAGAAACCACAACACAGTTTCAAATTATTTCAAGTTTTGAAGTCTTTAAGGTATGAATGGCAGGCCTTAAACTATGCAATAGTTTATTTCTTTAACATTTTTTTATAAAAAGTATAATTTAGGGCATTACCCATATTCACATTTAAAGTGCAATCGGTTTTTTAATAACGTCTTTATCAGTAAAATGTTTATAGTTATAGTTAAACTTTCTAAACACCTTTTCAAAAAATTTAATGAATATAAACTCAAGTTTCGAAGTATATATATACATTACTTTACTAAAATTAACATTGATTTTTTTAAATGCTTAATTCAATATTAGTTAAATATATATAACATATTGATTCGGCCAACTTTTTATCCAAAATTTAAAAGTTTTTTAAGTAAAATGAATTGATATGGCGAATCTTATGCCCAAAAACATTTAATTTAAAATAAATATTTAAGATACAACAGTCTTAATTCTCCTTTCCAATATTTATATGTAATGTATATCTTGTGTTTGTAAGCTTTAAAGCAGAGGAGGTAGACTTAAACCCCTATGATCTTGTGGTCTTACTTCTTTCACTCAAACCGCCTTTTTCTTGTCACAAACAGCTCACGTCTTCTGGTGGAGTGGCTGAACTTGATCCTCAGCTGCCACGAGCTGGTGGACACGTACTACTCGGCCAACAGCTATGTGGCCCGCACGGGATTCCGGGATTCGCTGCGCTCCATCGACGCTCTATCCCGATTCGACTTCGAACTGCCGGTGGACCTGGCCATCCGACACTTCCGCAACATCTAGGCGGCTGACTTGTACATTTTTGGCTTAGACTAGATCACACTATTCAATGTCAATGTCCAACGGGGGAACCTTAGTCCAAATCGTATGCTCTCTCTCTCTCTCACACACTTTATGTATAAACCTGTGTATATAACTTTAGATATGTCCATTAAATCAATTGCTAATCCTAACGAAAGTGCGTGGTGTAGAATTCGTGCAGGCACTGGCTTGGCTTCTCGCCCAGCGGACGTTCCAGGGGACCGCAGGGGATCCTCGCGAGGAGCAGGCTGGCCTGTTTGGCATCTGGACACTCAGCGTAGGCCTCCAGCAGGCAGCGCGGCGTGGGATATCGCTCCACAATCGACATGGCCCGGTCGAGGGAGAGGGAATGCAGCTGCAGCAGCTGTTGCACAAAGACCTCGCGCACTGTGAGCTGGGCATTCTTGGCGGAATCCTCGTAAAGGGCACGGAATTTGAGCAATCCCAGGCGAGAATCGGTGAGCACGCAGGTGGATTTGTCCAGTGTCCCGCGCTGCACGCTGTACAGCCGCTTGCTGGCGAAAATCTGACCCAGGGAACGACTCATCGCAGCCAAATAGCTCATGGATCGATAGTGATTCTCGGTGCGCACCACCTGGACACCAGTTTGTATCCGGGCATTGGCCAGAGCCTGCTGCAGGGAGTCCAGTGGCAGGCCCAACTGCTCGTTGTCCCCATAGTCCTCCACCAGGTAGATGATGTTCTCCAGCCCGCTCTGCTGCAGCCGGTGCTTTTGTTCGTGAAAGCGACCATCGCGTATACTTGAGGCCAGGTCGTCCATGCGCTTGCGTTCCACGATATAAGGCAGAACCAGTTCATTGCCCTGTGCATCCTGGGCTATCCAAAGGAAGTCGCCGATGGTGAGACGACGCACCTCATGGCGGGCCCCCAGGGATTCCAGGTAGCCCCGCGTTTGGTCCAGAACCCGCTTGTTTTTGCCACTCGTCTCCTGGGTGTCCACCAGAAGCAGCAATTGGAATCCACCCAGTTGCATCTCTACAACGCGTTCCCGCTCCTCCAGGGCTGCCTGCTCCAGCAGTTCCTTCTTCGTGGGCTTTCGGGGTTTCGACTTTTTGTCCTGGCGTTTCTGGTGCTCCTGCACCTGGCGGATCACTTGCTGCACCTGCTGCTCGTAGTGCTGCTGCGCCACAGGCGCCTCCTCGCGGACCACCAATTGTAAGCCCCGGTGCTGGCGCAACTCCTCGTCGATCAGTTGGCAAAGGGTGCCTCCAAATCCGCGCAGAATCGAGCAATCCCGTCCACTGGACAAGGGCAATGGGTAACTTTTTAGGGCCTCCAGTGCCTGGCGCAATTTGAACTGCGACTTTTGCTGCCGCCGCTCCGCTTCCCGCAGCCAGCGTTCCAGCCAGCGGGTGAACAACGGATTGGGCTCCCGCAGGCGCACTTCCAGACGCGTTTCCATCCTTATTGTAACACTTATTTTGCAATACTTAACAAAATTCACAACTTAAAGAAACATTCGCGCGTCTAATTGGGTTTTTGATTTGGCAGTGCCGGTTTAATGCGCGTCTAATCGGGTTTTGTGGTCTGGCAGCACCGGTCACTATTGGTGGAAAGATACTCAACTATCGATTGCTAGTAGTCGGTTGTAAGTAATTGCGCCATTCAAAATATGCGGAAGAATCTCAACTTTTGTGACTTTTTAACTGTTATATATATATGAATAATAATACTTAAGAGCAATTCCTACAAAATAGTTGTTGTTTTAATTTATTGTTGAACAAAATAAATGATTATTTTATAAAATTATTTTTATATATATTCATAAAAAGTGAAGTAGTGACTATCGATAACAAAGTGTGAAACCACCGATAGTTTTTCGAGAGAGCCCATCACTAAGAAACAAAATAAACAAAAAAATAGCGGCGTTTTGCACAAAATAAACGAAAATTTTATAAATTGTAAAGTTAATTTAGATGAATTAAAAAAAAAAGGCGGCAGAGGATCACCAGCATAATGGCCAGCGGTTCCAGGACAACGATATTGCCGCAATCAAAGGAGGCGCTCCTAAAGTCATACAATGCGCGGTTAAAAGACGACGTTCGCAGCATGCTGGAGAACTTTGAGGGTAAAAGTTATTAGTTTTCCATGAAGTATATAAATAATACTCTGATCCCGCTCCCCTCCAGAAATTCTGAAGCTGGCGCGCCGTGAAAGTCACAGTCAGATTTCCAAGACCACGCAGTGCGAACAGGATGCTCTGGAAATGCAGGTCCGCGCAGCCAATATGGGTAAGCCACTAAAATCCTTTACAATCTAGTCTTATACATTTGGGGTCAAAATAATAGTAGCTTAAAATGTTTTCGAATTTTTTTTCATGTATTTTCGTAAAGCTTATACTTTAAACCAAATGGGTAAAATATATAAAAATCAACATTTAACATAGGTAAATTTGTTTAAAACATGGAAACAATGGAAATCTAGATAAACTACAAAAAATGTATAAAAAAAAAAATAAAAAACTATTTTTTAAGAAAAAAGATTAGATGTTATTTAAAGCCTTTTTATTTCAATAAAAAGTGCAGATTAAAATAAATTAAATTTTCAACAAATTATTAACTACAAGTTTATTGAAAAATCATTTTTAATGTATTTTAACAGTTTTAATTTTGCTTCAAACACTAAAATCATGTCAATTAACCATGATAATTTAAAAGAAAAGTTGTCCTAGACCGTATAGGTATGTTTTGGTCACCTACTATTACTGTGACTGCAACTGTAAGACTCTTATCCTGATATTCCATATTCCAGTTCGCGCCGGCGAGTCCCTGATGAAGCTAGTGGCCGACCTCAAGCAGTACCTTATCCTCAACGATTTCCACTCTGTGAACGAGGCCATCACAAACAATTCGCAATTGTTTAGAAACACGCAAAGCGAGTGCGACAAAAAGCTTATGAAACTGCGGGACGAAATGGCCATGGATTTGTACGATCTGGAGGAGGAGTACTACACTAGCATATTCAAGTAGCCCTAAGTCAAAGGTGAACGTTATTGTATTGATTTTGACCAAACTAAAATGAAGTTGATCAAAAACTAAAATTAGTAGTGAATCACTTACCATTTAAGCATTTTAAATTCAAATATTGTGAAATAATAATTTTTAATTGTAAAACGTGCAGTATTTACAAAACAAAGGCTCCTATTTCAATTTCGAGGACAAGAATGATTATTCGGAGTAGCTGACCTACAAAATTATCAAATTTAGTACGATAGATAATTGAAAATCTGGAAATCTTAGTATTATTTTTAAAGGATTTACATAAATCCTATTTAAATTCTTACGAAATGCTTTTAAACGTTGGTTTGTAATTTCGGGTCTATTTTCTTAATAATTTTTTAAAATGCTAAATCGGTCGATGAATAACTAATCGATGGCATATGAGTATAAGTACAGATATGGGATATATTTATTGGCCGAGACTTATCGGCAAATCATAAATTGACATTGCGGCAGGTCGGAATTTAACAGAAAAAATAATCTTCTTATCCATGATGGGGACTTCATTTCATATATTTAATTATAGATACCTGCCGATCTAAACGAGTCCTATCTGAGACACCTGGCTACTTTACACCTGCTCTGGGGCGTTAAGGCGGTAAGTAAGCCCGTTGTCTTTGAGCAGCCATATAAACCAAACGATAGGCCATTATTTATTGAGAAAAAAACCGAACACACTTGCCCAATCTTATCCGTTGCCCGATTTTGCCTGTTTGGTCGCATGCTAATTTATTGACGATTAATCTACGACCAATTGAAATGTTCTCCATTCTTAGCCGGGGGGTCCAACTCGCCAACTGATTTGGTAATCTATTAGGTAGCACCTCCGATTCGATTGCAGCTGCACCCAATGGCCTTCGCTTGGTACTCTTGTTTGCGGCATTCTGTGAATGATTTAATTGGCTGTGTTTGGATTTAGAGATTGCCTCAGCTAGCCACTTCAAATGTATTGAAATTGATTGTAGTTTTATATAAAAATAGTATGATACGGCTTGGGACATATGAGTTGCCAGGTTATGCAAGCAATTATTTGTTTTGTTATCTACATCAATTTAAGCATACTATTCCAAATAAATATCCATACTTAACAATTACTTTGTAAAAGTAAAAAAAAAACATTTTAAATAGCTTGTTTTTTGAAAACTTGCAATCCAAGTTCATTAAAAACTCTTAGTTACATAAATTAACTTTATTTTTATATACTCCCCATACAAAAACTTAAGACTAAAAACAAAAATGACTTAATTGGTCCCACGGATTTCTAGAAAATGAAATCCCCATCCTCCTGCTCGTCCAGTAAAGAGAGGCTTCTTTCGAAGCGCTTGATGTTCTGGTACCAGCTGGGGTCTCTAGAGGATATAGCCTCCGGCCTGCCCCCCTTGTTGCGATACAGGAACTCGGCGTGTCCTTGACCAGTGACCCCATTGACCGTACAGGCCACAAACTGATTGAACACCTTGGACTCCCAATCTCCGCCCACATACCGCACTGCAGATCCCTCCACTTGGATCTGGATGAGATACTCCTTCTCCTCGGTGCGCACAATGAAGTTCTGATGCTGGGGCGGGATTCCCTTTTCGCCGTAGGAGTACAGCTCAAAATTACTGAAAGTCAGAGGTTGATACTTTCCCGAGGGACTGCAGACGTAGCCCACTTTTAAAGAGGACAGGAAAAAGGAGGGCTGGCTGAGATTTCCCACTACCATGCTGCTGCCATCATCCAGAAACAAGGCGAAGTAGACATATCGGTTAATGGAACTCAGACAACGCTCGGTTCCGAAACTGTGATCACGAAAGCCCAGCATTTTGAGGGCGATCTCCTCACCCTTGAAGACGATCTTTCCCGAAAGTTCGCCATTCTGTTCGTAGTGGGTTCGCTTTTCCACAATATGATTGACACTTCTAATCAGACTGTAGAACTTCTCGTTCCAGGCCTCTCTGGCTATGGAGTCGGCTATCAAGGATGAACTCAGATCCCGGTTGTAGTCGAAGTGTTCAGCGGAGGAGCTCTTGAAGCGTAGGTCCAAGTCTACTGGTATTGCCTCTACTGAATCTCTTTGGCTCTTCAATACACCCTCATATTTAATCCGCCAAACTTTCATTGATTCCTCCTGATAAACATGGAAGCCTCCACCCCGGAACTCGTGGCCCTCTTCTCCGTCTTCGGTGGTGAAATATATCATATCGGGGAGATTGGGGGAACTAAACAAGCCCCTCCCTGGAAGCCATAGGTACAAGGCTGCCTTTAGGACTCCACGTCTTCTTCTCTCCAAAGTAACCATCAGTTTCTGTCCCTCCTCATTGGCAGCCATAAAGCTGACCACGTCGTAGCTCTTGGGATCGTTGCCCAGCTCCTGGGGTCTGTCGATTTTAGCCAGATGTTCCTCGGATCCCAGCAACTCCTCGTTCCTTCGATAGATGCGGTATCTCAAGCGTCGAAGGACCAATAAAGCGAGCCAAAACTTCACCCGATAGAAGATACCTTTCAGTGGGTATTTGTCGAAAATTAATGGCGGTTTCAGACCCAATAGCTTGAGAGCCCCGAACACCAGGGTCATTAGGATCGCAGAGACCAGACCGAGGATTAAAAGAACGACCATGTTTTTTGTGCTTAAGAAGTTGCGCTCCAAAAATATTGTGGATATTTGATAAAACGACTATGGATCGTTAACAAATCTTAATCCTCAACTGAAAAAGGTTGAATGTTGCTCAGCGCTTGGCCTATTTTACGTGACTGAGCACCCCAATGCAGATTGTGCAAAGAAAATGGTTAGGCCCCCGCTTATCGACCCCCGATAAGCTACCGATAAACCTCTTTTTTTTCCGACCCAACCCATTGTTTCCGGCTTATCAGTTGGAATTGTTGGAACTTTACGGCCCCCGGTATATGACTGCCTCGTAAATCTGAATCTGTCTGTGGTCGCAATTTCCGATTGATCCATTAGCAAGGTCCGCAATCCATTAGAAACAATTGTTAGATAGGCGAATTGCAGGTTATCTTCTGGTGCAAAGTCTGTCTAAATAGGCACAAAGTCTCATAGCTGTTAGTTAAGATCTAAATATATTAGAGATAATAAGGGTTAATTTATGTGTGATACATTGGTATCACTTGGTACTATCACTTAATTCATGGGGTTTGCCTATGCTGATTGGGAAAATTTTTTGAAAAATTGTATAAGTTAAAAAAATGGTAGAAAAACAAAGAATATAGTAATCATTCTAAAGATTTTTGTTTTCAGAGGATAATATTCATTTTTTTTTCCATTTTTCTAGAAAACAATTACTTTTATGACAGAACATCTTACTGTTAAACAGTTAAAGACGAAAAGGACTTAAATCCCAGCTTACGCTGCTCAACACTAAAATAAGGTCCTTTCTAACACTTTACCGTAGCCTTTGAACTGCGCCTGCGCCAAAAAACAACAAAACGCTTAATCAATAAAAACATAAAATTTAGTGCGCAAGGAGCATCAGCAGCAGAAACAGGAACAAAACAATATTCCCGAAGGATAAGGACAACAAAACAGACAGTACATTTTGTAGATGAAGGAAGTATATGATTTATAGCAAAAGCATACGGAGTTTTTGATTTCGTCACCTGCAGAAGGGCAAAAGGTAAGCGAATATTGAGTATTTACCGTCGAAGATGAAAGGAGAGACCAAGAAAGCAAGTGAGAGAGAGAGAGGAAGAGCAGTGAAGTGAAAGAAGTTGCATTTTCAGGAACAAAATAACAAAAACAACAGGAAGACTAAGTGCGGAGAGCAGGAGAAGGTCAGAGGAATTACGCAGAGACGGATAGAGAGTGTATGGCAGAATCGTTTCACGTCCTAATTTGATTAGGACCAACTTAAGCAGCAGACAAGTCAGCAGAATCGACCATCGCTAGTCAAAACAATCTGCAAGGAAGAACAATCAAAGTGGAAGAAAAGGAGATAGAAACAGTAAACAATCAATCGAATAAGGAAGGAGCTGCAGAAGGACAGAAAGAGGATCATAAGAAGAGACAAAGAAAAGTAAAAGAGAATATCCATCAAAATCCGACAAAGAGAAGCTCTAGAAGAGCGCGGGAGCTTCGGAAGAATCTGAAGATTAGAAAAAAGAACAGGACACAATGTATAAAACCATAAGGCACGGTGAAAACAGTCTGCAGTATACGATTCTGCCGCAGAACGACGACTTCCGCATCGAGGGCAAACTGTCGGGCACCGGACGTTCCTCCGGCGTCGGAGCCTCGTCCTCCGGCTCTTCCGCCTCCTCTTCCGGATCCTCGGTCAAGGTCAAGGGTCAGCGCCGCCGACGATCCTTCTTCGCCTATTTGGGCCTAATTTTCGTTTGCACCGTCATTATTGGAGCCGTGCTTATACCCTTTTTGGTCTCCGCCGAGTGTCTACCAAATCCCACGGAATGGTTCTTGAAAACCAAGGCGGCCCTGGTCCACAGCCCACAAAGAGGCGGTGGTGAAAGGGCAGAGACTGTCCCTGGTAGTCCCACATTGCCCACAGGATCACCCTTGTTGCAGCAGAATGTGGGCAGGAACGTGCAGATCGTGAATCGGAATGGCATAGAGCAGTTTGTGATCCGCTTGAATAAAACCAATACGAATGCCAGTACCACCAGTGGCACCACCGCCACGGAAACCACTTCGACCAGCAGCAGCAGCACCACCACGTCCACCACCACAACCACACGAGCTCCCACTACGACAACAACGACAACGACCAGCACAACGACAACAACCAGAGAGCCACCAGTGACCACACCACGATACATGCCACCGGCCACCACAATCACCACCCGAATCATCCAGGTGCCCCTACTCAAGTCCGCCGCAAAGAAACCCATCATGCCACCCGTTTTGGCCAAGGCCCAAGGACCTCAAATCCAAACCGGAGCTGGCCAGAATTCCAGGATGCAAGTGCAATCATCGGATGCGGAGGAACAAGCTCGGGAATCGAGTGACGAGAAGAGCAACAGCGCCTGGATAAAGACGCACTGGGCCTTCATCGATCCCTCGACCTTATTTCAGTGGACCGTAAGTAGTGGCAGGAAATTGCGTGACTCTGGTGTTATCCGATACTCATATGGGGTTAAGTGGTTACGTAGTCAGCTTACAAGTAGGCCATAATACCCTGCACACACTCGAAATTCTTGAGAAAGGTCATGTCCGTTGGTATGGACTCAAGGAACTCAGGAACCTTAAAGGTTAGGCCTATGGAAATTGGTATGCAGGCTTATTTTAAGAGCGCATAAATTAAAGTTATTAAGTCAACTTTTAAATCTCAGGATCCAGAAGTGGTAGTATAAAAACTTTTAATTGTGAAATAGTGCAGAAAGATTTAGGCAAAATTCAATTTAAGATGTGAAAGAACTCCGGAACCTATGAAATCATTAATCAACTTTTAAATATCAAAACGTTGGACTTAGATGAAAATAATTAAGTCATATTTTATGTCTCTGGAACTGAAGGAACTTTTAAACCATTAAAGCTAGATTTTAGTATTAGTATGCAGGCTTATTTGAAAACCACACTGATGAAATTCTAATTTCAGAAAGATTTATGCCAGATCCCACATTAAGTATGAGTGCCGGTGCCTCTATGTTCGAGCTCCTTTACCACCTTTAATTGCCCGTTTTTTCGCAGGGTTACAAGGACGAGGATAGCGTGCTGCTGCCCGCTCTTTTGGGATTCGCCCTCATTGGAGTGATTCTGATTATAACCGTTTGCCTGGTGGCACGCAACAAGCGCACAATTGTGTCCTCCGTTCGCAAGCGAAATCGCAATGTGAGTACAAAATGCAATTAAAACTTGACCGAAAAGAGGTTGTGTGTGGGAAGTGGGTGGTGTGACCTTGAGCCCCTTTTCATATAAGCACACTCTTGCCGATTGCGACTACAGATAAGTTTAAAAAGTAAATCTGCATACCTAATGGTGTAATGCGAGCCCTGTGAAAAGTGAAACGGAAGCCTTTAAATAATACGTATTAGTCTTAAATTAATAACCTTGAATTTCAAATTGTGCGGCTTACGCGCTGCCAGCCCTTAATCAACCTAACCAGGGCTGAGCAGTCACCAAGTGAAAGTATTGCCAGAAGTTAAATTCTTTTTTAATTGAAAAAGTGTAAACGCCGAACAAGTTAACCAAATTCAGTCGAAATGAATCAGTTAAACAAAACGAAATGCGAGCCGCGTGAAAAGTGAAACTGTAGCCTTTAAATAATTCGTGTTAGTTTTAAATTAATAACCTTGAATTTCAAATTGCGCTCCTTACGCACTGCCAGCCCAGGATCAACCAAAACAGGGCTGGACAGTCACCAAGTGAAAGTTTAGTTAGCAGTTAAAATCATATTTTAATTTAAAAGGGTCAAACCTCCGAACAAGTGAACCAAATTCAATGTAACGAACCAGTTAAACAACAAAAAATCGACACAGCAGCGCTATTTGTGGTTTTTTAACACCCAGGTGAGCATAAGCAAAGGCAGCGCAGCAAGCAGTGCAGTAAGCAAATATCAGTAGGTGTTAGAGGTGGAGAAACATGTATATTTTTACAGACTTCGATGTTTTTAATACCGGAATCGGAATGGCCCTGATTAATTTTGTTCAAAGTTCGAAATTCAAAAATCCCAACATTTCAATGTTATTTAACATTTATGTTAGAAAACGATGAATATGGGGCAACGCTGCGGCAGAGGAAAAGCAGATTAGAGATGGACAAACATCGATGTTGCCCCCGCCAAACATCGATGAAACCGATGTTTTTAAGACATCGATGACGTCGATGTCGGCATCGATGTTTATCCACCTCTACCTGTTTCGGCCGATTCAGATCCAGATCAGGAACCAGATCACATCAGATCCGCACCGCCTACGTCAGCAAATTCACGTTGCACATCAGCAGTTTGGCCGGAAAATTCGGCCCAAACTGAAGGAAAATCCTGTGAGTAAAATTGGCAAATGCGTGCAGCAACAATTTTTTGCCAGCGTGTCTCTTGGAGTCTCTCAACGTCAGTGTGTGTGTGTGTGTGGGAGCGCGCAGCCTTGGCTCTATGTGCGTGTGTGTGTGTGTGTGCGGTGCCAACAAGGCAATTTGTGTGTTTGTTGTTGGAGGAGCATCTTAAACACAGTAGTTATCCCTAAAGTGCCCTCATCCAAAGGACCAGCTAACTGTTAAGGAACAGCCGTTAAACCTTTTTTTTTTATTCGTGGCTAATTTTATGTTATAACGGTACATCGTTAAGACTGTAGTTCTCACTTAAATTTGCTAGGATATATCAAAACAGTAGGAATTGGCTAAAAGGAAGCAAGTTAAAAGTGCACGAAACTATTTGTAGTCAGAGAATAAATGGTTCCATATAGTGTATTAATTAATAATCATATGCCAGAGGAGCATCTTTAATACAGTCGTTGATACCTCAAGAGTTATAATTTGTGGGAAACCTGTTGACAAAAGCTACACTTTTTTAAGGTGGTCAAAAGAATATTTTTAATACAGTAGGTACTTGGTGACTATTTAAAACAGTAGTTAGTTTTACAAATTATAACAAAAATTGTTTTGTTTTATAAAAAATTAATTAATTACATTAGTTACCACTTATGTTGAGTAATTATAATGCTTGGAAAATTAGATGTAATGAGCTACATACTTATAGATAACAGATATCAATGAGAACTTTGGCATATCTTAATTTGGAGCACACGTCAATGATCATTTGATTAGGTTTCTAATGCCTACAGGCTTTTAAATTAGAGACTAGTCTATTGACCATACTTTAATAAGACGATAGTATCTTAAATAATAACTTAAATAGATAGTTGAACCAGATATGCTGTTAGTGGTGCTGTTGAGAGCTTCCGAGAGTCAGAAATAGTACAATAGAACCAAAAGAATGGGAATAATGAACTCATTTACCATTGCAGAGCTCCCTGAATCAAGTGCTCCACCTGCCAGAGCGATGGCCATCAAACCGGGACTCGGTCGCAAGACCAGCAACAAGAATCCACCGATCCTGAGCCACGAGTTCGTGATCCAGAACCATGCGGACATCATATCGTGCGTGGCCATGGTTTTCGTTGTGGGCCTAATGAACGAATCGACGGCGGCGTTCGCCAGTGCGTTCATATCGCTGCATCATAATGTGAGCGGTGAGGATCCGAGCAGGGAGCAGCCATATGGCAAGGCCTACACCTATATGGCGGGGATCAAGGACTACTGTGCGATATTCTTCTACACGCTGACCTGCATCATCATGCACGCGATTATCCAAGAGTTTGTGCTGGACAAGATCAGCAAAAAGCTGCACCTGTCAAAGTTTAAGCTGGCCCGCTTCAACGAGTCCGGCCAGCTGGTGGCCTTCTATTTGCTGTCCTTCGTCTGGGGCGCCCATGTGCTGCTCAAGGAGGGCTACCTCGGCCAGGTGGCCCAGCTGTGGGAGGGCTTCCCCGACCACCCGATGAGCTTCCTGCACAAGTTCTACTTTGTGGTGCAGCTGGCCTACTACCTGCACATGCTGCCGGAGCTGTACTTCCAGAAGATCAAGACCAAGGAGGAGCAGCAGCCCAAGATCGTGCACTCGATCAGCGGCTTCACCCTGATTGTGCTGGCCTACACGCTGAGTTTCCAGCGCTTGGCCCTGGTGCTGCTGACGCTGCACTACTTCAGTGAGCTGTTGTCGCATGTCTTCCAGCTGATCGGCGTCTTCGATCGCGAGGAACGTCTGGCCAAGCTGCGTGTGGTCAACAATGGGGTCTTCTTCCTCATCCGCTTTGCCACGTCGGTGATCGGTGTGCTAACGCTGTACTACGGCATTGGTGGTGTGAGATCGCTGCTGGCGCTGGGCGGTCTGATCGCCCTGCAGGGCTACCTAGTGTTCTCGTTCATCACGGAGCAGCTGCGCGCCAAGCGGGAGGCCAAGAAGGAGGCCAAGCGCGAGGCCAAGCTGGCGCTGCAGACCAAGAAGCCGGCCAAGACGGCCAAGGACAAGGTCAAGCGCAAGAAGGAGAGCGATCTGCCCGAGGCGGACCAAACCCAGTCGCCCAGTCCCGTCAAGCAGAAGCTCAAGTGAGGAGTCACCAATGCGAATGGCCACTCACACGCAGAGCAACAAAATCTTCCGCACACTTCCAATCCACAAAAGAATGAGATATATATATATACATATATATGGAGCAGCAACATGAACAGATATATCTATATATAGTGTATATCCACCATTGTTTTGTAAATCTCGTTTAGCTCAAAACAACTACACACTACTGCAAACGCAAACATTTCTGCTGCATTTACTTCCTCGAGACACACACACACAGAAAAAGCAACTATTTTTCTTAGCCTAAATGTTTTGTTTCATTTTAAGTTTACATCATTTTTTTAAAAAAATTTTTTTTATTTTTATACATACACACAAAAAAAAATTGAAAAAAAAAAGTAAACAAAATATAACAAAAAAAAAATCTTATTGTAATATGTGTTTTTGAATTGCTCTTGTAATTAGCAAATTGTTCAAATTGCCGACAAAATGATTTAACAATTTCCAATCGTCCTATTTGCATGTAATACTATTTTTTTTGTAAAAAAAAATAAAAAAAGAACAAGAACAAGATTGTAATGAAGCAAAACAAAACATTTGCTAAATATATAAAAATATATATTTTGTAAAAGAAACAAACGTTTTTTTATATACTTTTCATTGGGGGATGTAGAAAATATATATAAAAAATTTTTGAAGAATTGCAATTCCTAAAGGGAATTGATTATAGATATAAACTATATTCTATTCTTTATACTTTATACTATAAAGCTCATTTAATGCTGAATTTAAGAAGTATAACTTAAACTGAATACTTTTTTATTTGATATTATATCATAAGTATTTTAAAAAAGTTTAGTAGCTTACTAAAAAGAAGTACAACTTTATATTGATGTTTTGAATGTGTATTTTAGAAGATACAGTTGATCCTAATTTTACTTTTCAGGACATCGAGGATCAGGGCGCCGAGGATAACGCCACTCTGCTGACCACCACAAATATGTCGGACGACGATTAATTGGAACTCGTCTAGATGATTCCCACTTTAATCCCGATTAACCTTCGATTCAAGCTTTTTGTTTATCGGCCTGCTTAAGCTGGGATTTCCGTTTAATGGCACACATTTGTATTTACCTAGATATAAGCTAAGAAAGCCCCACAACATATAGTATGTACAGCAGCGGTCAAAATAATAGTATTAGTATCGCCATAAAAACATACCTTTGAGGCATAAAACAAATTTTCCTATAATTTATCATATTGCTTACTTACCAAAAAAAAAAAAAATAGGCTTAAGAAACCTTTATTTAAGTTTTAAAAGAAAGTATGCAAGCTTTTAATGATTCTTTAAAATTCACTTTTCAGTATGCTGTACTAAATGGTTCTGTAATCATTTCAGAAAATAATTCATACAAATTTTTGGGATAATCTATTTTTTTACTTCAAAATTTAAAAATATTTTAAAATGGTTTATCTATAATAATAGTTTTTCACATTTATGGTATTATCTTCATGAAAATATTTCAAATTGTTTCTAAAGTTGCTCCCAGCTATCCTTGATTACTATTTGCAAAAGTTAAAACACTTTTATTTTGACCACAACTGTATATCGGATCTCAGCGCTGTCCAAAAAGAGCCAAGCTAATATGTTAAAAAAACCAAAATGCAAAAAAACTTTCTCTGTTATGTTTCTTCTTCCCTTTCTCCAAAAAAAAGCAAGCGGAAACTGAAACAAAAAAAAAGAAAAGAAGACTGTTTCTGAAACAACAAAATGAACACAAACACAAGCGAGCTAATCTTTATAGTTTTCCAAACAAAATAATTCCTGCTTTAATAACTCGTTTTTCGAAAGTCTTTTTTTTTCCCATCCCAACAATTTTATATGCGTCTGAATGAGTGTGTGATTGACTCTGTGTGTGTGTGTGTGTGCGTGTGTGTGTGGAAGAGCTTGATTTAAATATCCATACGTATAAATATAATATTTATGAGCTAGCTCGATATGTAATTTGAGTTGAAAAATTTATATTAATGAAAATCTACTTTTTTGATAGATTTTTGTGTGGTAAATCCAAATCTGATCAAAAAAAATTTCCGCTTTCACCATTTCCTCAAAAGTACAACTTTTTGGCTTTAAGATATTTCTTTCCAAATAATAATACAACAAACAAAGAAAAGTTCATTTTCATTAGTGTTTAAAAAAAGGGTAGAATTTTGTAACTCGTATTACAAAGAAATTAGTGAACTAATGAGTACAGTGCGTTTCAGGGCTCTAGGGGTCTATAAAAACTAATTTCAAACTAATATACTTTGTAAACTAAAGCGAGCTTTTTTAAATTTAATTTTACTCCAACAAAAAGTTTAGCGATCTTGCTGCTCTGAGCCGCACTGTACCACGAAATTTATTTGGAAAAGCGTAAAATATGTACTTATAAGTTAAATATGTCACCAGACCCAAAAATCGGTGTGAGCCCTAGGAAAACACACTCAAATCAAATGAAAACGTCCAGAAATAAGAATCTTTTTTTGAGCAAGCTGTGCTTCTACTTATCGAGCGTGGACTGTACTTGATTTTCAGCACAAAATTATTGAGGGATGCATTTACGCCTGGGATCCTGCATAATTTGCAGCCAAAAAGCACACAACAAAATAAAATGCTTGCCGAAAAAATCCAGATGGGGACAGTGTATAAGCGAGGAGGGGAATAGAGTTTGTAGCGGGGGGACTACTGTATGTCTATATAAATTGTGTATAACTGTGAAGCATTGACAAGTATTTGAGATGATCTGTATTTTTGTAAGCGTAATATTTAAAGCGACAACCAATAAAAACCAAAAAACAAATTCAGAGAAGCAACTATATAGCGTAAGATAAAGATATCGGGCGCAGCACTCGCAACTCAAAATTGATTTGCTCAACACACATAATATATACATACAATATATATATACATATATATATATATTATATACAAACAAAAATATGTAACGCAATGTATAAGGCTTGCATTTACATTTACGAGCGGGATATATCCTCCATATGTATATGTTATCACTAATTTGCAAAGCTAAACTAAGTCCATGTATACAAAAACAAGATATCCGGCGGGAAATGACAAAATACACACACTATATTGAATGTTTTTGCTTGTTAAAGTGAATAATAAAGAAGAAAACTAAAAAACATTGGAAAACTAGGGTACTACTTTAAGGCGTTGTGCTAAAAAGATTGGGTGATTAATAATTGCAGTTCAACAACAGAATCGTGGTAAGAAAAGGTAAGAAGTGAAAAAATGTACATAGTTCAACAAACAAAGAAAAACGTTTCTCATTAATTAACAGATTATCGGGAATAATTAGAATTTAAATAATACTTTTCTATAAACAAATCAAATATTGAAAGGTAGAGATTATAATACCTATTAAAATAAGATTTTCCTCCATTACTAAACATATTTTTCTTTGTTTTCCTTTTAAAAACCAATCAAATATTTATGGGACATTGAATAATATTAAATATTATTACTGAGAAAGCAATCTTGAACGATTCTAACCAAAAAAGTTGTTTCACTCCACATTGAAAATCGCTCAAGTATCAACGTAAATATCTATATATTAAAGGGAAAGCAATCTTAACCGATTTTAACTGAAATGTTTTCCATATCACTTTAGGTTCAGCTGCTGTTTGTCCCGCTTGTTCTGCTGGACGTTCAGGTGATTCTGCACGAAGCTGTGAAAGTTCTGGTCCTCTGCGGTGCCCTTGGCGTCCTCCTCCATGTCCTCCCGCTCGTCATCGTCGTCGGCTGATTGGGGCACTAGACCGGGTGCCATTAGGAAAACACTGTTGCCAGAGTTCGCAGGCGGATCCTACGTATGAAAGCTGTTAAGTAAGTTTATTTTTGAGAGCTCTGTGAGTGTTCCTACTTGAAGAGTCAGTCCCAGGGGAACGGCTACGCCGGCCTCTTCCACATTGTCGGCTGGCCTCGGACCCGCCGCCTGCTCCGCCAGTCGCTCCTTGCGCATCTTCTCGTACACCGGCTTGTAGTCCTGCTCGTACTGGGTCACGCACTCGAGAATCTTCTTCAGCAGTTGGGCAAAACCCACGCCCGTCTTGGCCGAAACGCCGCAAGTGCTTAGGTTCTCGTAGAAGGTGTCCAAGGTGAGCGACATGGAGCGCGTGAGGTTGCTCACGAAGTTCTGCTCCTGCTCCAGAGCCTCCTGGAAGATCTCGAAGTCCGTCATCCAGTCCAGCACAAAGCTGCAATCCTGCAGGTCAATCTGTGGATAAGGATTACAGATCTTATCTTGGACTTTAGTTACGTAGGCCGCAACCTACCTTGTTCAGCGCCACGAGGAAGGGAAGACGCGTCTTGTACAGAATGGAGCAGGCGTAGAGCATGTTGGACATGAAGGTGGTGGGACAGGCGCTGCGCACCACGTCCATCACATAGACAACAATGGTGGGGAACATGGTGGCCAGTCCCTCGGTGATAATGTTGCCGGACGCCGACCAGGTGAACACCTCAATCTGGCCGGGCGTGTCGATGATACACCACTTGTGTCCCCGCTCGCCGGCGCGACGCACTAGCTCCGCAAACTGGGCCATTTTGGTGGTGAACATATTGAGGGCCGTAACAATGCCGCCATTCGGTCCCAGTTGGTATTGCTTCATCACCTCCCGGTAGTTAACCGTATCCCGGATGTCCACGTGCGCCGCATACGGCACTTCCCGGCACGCCGGATCCAGATTGACCACATACGGATTGAATTCCTGCTGGGCGTGCTGGATGAGGCTCCGGGTGAAGGTGGTCTTGCCGCTGCCGGCCATTCCCAGCACGATTATGCAGACGGGTGAGTCCCGGATTCCCTCGCTGAGCGACAGGGCCTCCAGCTTGATGTCCTCCAATCCGGCGGACATTATGCGTATGCGTTTTTTCTGGCCAAATACGCCAAAATACAAATCAAAATAGGGCGCAATGCGAAGCAAAAACAAACGTGCGCTCTCTAGGGATGGCCGATTGTTGATCCGATAGTAATCGAAGTAGAGCGCAATGGAGCGATAGTTAATACGATAGTAGAACGGATTGGTTTCTATTAAAATAAATAATTCGATTTAAATTAAATGATATTTGGGGGCCCTGATAACGAATAATAGGTCAAATCTGGATAACAGATTTCTTGGTGAAACATGGTAATGGTTTTTTTTGGCATTGTGTCTTTAAAAAAGGTCCTTAATAATAAATAATTGTTTAAAGAAAGTTTTACACCTGGTTAAATACACAACGTTGTAAATGTTAAAAATTTCTATTTCTAGCAATTCTGAGATTCAGTCGCTTAGGGAATACCCAAAGAATTTGCTTGCCCTCTAATTAAAAACTAATAAGAAAAATAGGCGATATTATAGTGATGGTTTACAAGCCATCAATACCATCGATAGTGCCATCATTAACTTGACAGGTCTGCCACACTAGTGTGTTATCGATAGCCGATAACTATATACAGATCTTTTGTTTTGCTAAAAAAGAAAAGGTTTATTTGTGGAAAAGCGGGCCAGGATTATTCGCGACCAGGACGACGGAGGATCCTTCCGGCGTGTGATGCTTTAATGCTAAAGTCGATTAGCGGCGGCGTTGGCGTGGCATCCACGGAAAGAGGAGGCGGCGGCGGTGGTGGCGGCGGAGGTGGTGGTGGAGGGGCAGGTGGAGCAGGAGAAATAGGACCAGCAGCAGCAGGAGGAGGAGGAGGAGGATCTGGAGGAGCCTCTGGCAGCAGGAGCACCAGCGGAAGTGGGCGTGCCAGTTGCGTGCTGGGCTCCAGTTCGATTTCCAGTGGTTTGAGTGCCGTGTGCGGATTTGTGACCGGCGGAGGGGGTGGATCTGATCGCGATCGAGATCGGGATCGGGACAGAGACAGAGGGGTGGCCAGCAGCAGCGGTGGGAGCACTCCGGCCGGCATCCTCTATTGCCCCGCCTGTGTGGCAGCCGCCAATCAGCAGAATCCCAGCCAAAACTCGAGTCCCCAGCACGAGGGCTTCTTCTCGCGCAGCTCCTCCAAGTCCAGTAAGCGCAACAAGGCCAGGAAGAGCGCCTCCACCGCCGGCTGCCTGGACGCCCAGCACATACGCGCGAATCTCCGCATGTCCATGTCCAGTTCGATGCGCAGCTCCCGTGGAAATAGTGGCACAGGAGGCGGAGGCGGAGGAGGAGCAGCCTCCTGCAGCAGCAGCAGTGGCGGAGGAGGAGGTGGAGGTGGAGGAGCAGGAGGATCCGCATCCGGAGGCGGGCTGGCCTATGACGCGGCCAGCAATGCCAGCAGTGGGAGTGGCAGTGGCAGCGGCAAGGTCGCCTCGCCAGGCAGCTACAGCTGCAACGCCCTCAATGTGGACTTCACCTCGTACACGGCCACCCATCAGTGGACCCGGATGCTCGAGTGCGCCGAGTTCGTGGGAGCCAAGTAAGTGGGGCAGCTAGATACTTACCTAGATACTAGATACATTGATACTTCCTTTGTATTTGTATTTGTATTTGTATTGTATTTGTACCATTTCTTTTAGGTACTTTTAGATACTTCCTCTCTAGATACTTTTATTTCTTATATGAAGATCATAATGGCATATTTTAAATTCCAAGTAATCGCAAACTGATGCTTACCAAAAGCAGCAGCATATAAAATATTTGTTTTTTTAAAACCCATTTGGTAAACTCCTACAAGTCACACAACTAGGACAACAATACATAAATACGTTTTCTATTCTATGTTTTTTAGATAACGTATTTGAAATATACATTATAACATTATTATATTCTATGTGTGTATACCATTTTAGCATTATATAGGAGTATGTTCTCAAAAAGTGAGATACAAGTGACAGAATTAGAAGTCCAAGTCTATAACCCAAATCCCCCTTCGCTTCTCTTTCCAGGCGGAGCAAGCACACTGTGGTGGCCTACAAGGATGCGATGTTCGTGTTCGGCGGCGACAACGGCAAGAACATGTTGAACGACCTGATCCGCTTCGGCGTGAAGGACAAGTCGTGGGGCAGGGCATGCGCGACGGGAACGCCGCCGGCGCCGCGATACCACCACTCGGCGGTGGTGGCCGGCAGCTCGATGTTCATCTTCGGCGGCTACACCGGCGACATACACTCCAACTCGAATCTGACCAACAAGAACGATCTGTTCGAGTACAAGTTCCAGAGCGCCATGTGGGTGGAGTGGAAGTTCTCGGGACGCCAGCCAGTGCCGCGATCGGCGCACGGAGCGGCGGTCTACGACAACAAGATGTGGATCTATGCGGGCTACGACGGCAATGCGCGTCTGAACGACATGTGGACACTGAATCTCACGGGCGAGAATCACCAGTGGGAGGAGGTGGACCAGCTGGGCGACCGACCGCCCACCTGCTGCAATTTTCCGGTGGCCGTGGCCCGCGATGCCATGTACGTGTTCTCCGGACAGAGTGGCCTGCAGATAACCAACTCGCTGTTCGAGTTCCACTTCAAGACGCGCACCTGGCGGCGCATTTCCAATGAGCCCGTACTGAGGGGCGCCACCTCGGCGCCGCCGTCGCGAAGATATGGCCACACGATGGTCCATCACGATCGTTTCCTGTATGTCTTTGGCGGATCGGCGGACTCAACGCTGCCCAACGATCTGCACTGCTACGACTTGGACTCGCAGGTGTGGTCGGTCATCCTGCCCGAGCAGAACTCGGATGTACCCTCGGGCAGGGTGTTCCACGCCTCGGCCGTGATCTGCGATGCCATGTACATATTCGGCGGAACGGTGGACAATAGTGTGAGGCGAGGCGATACGTATCGTTTTCAGTTCTCATCGTATCCCAAGTGCACACTGCGCGATGACTTTGGCAAGTTCTTTCTGGACAAACAGTTCTGCGACATCCAGTTCATTGTGGGAGCGGAGGAGATTCGGATACTGGCGCACATCGCCTTTGTAGCGGCGCGTTCGAAGTATCTGCGAAATAAAATACTGGCTGCGCGCGAGGCACGCCAGCAGCAAATGGAGAAGGTGTACGGCGTGGGCCAGGTGGACGCACTGGCACTCAATGCGTGCGCGGGCGGGGACCGCGGACCCATGCTAGAGGTGCGACTGGCCCACGCCTCGCCCGAGGCCTTCGACATCATACTCAACTACATCTACACCGATCGCATCGATCTGAAGGACGCCACCTACGGCAAGAACATCATCATTCTCATCACGGATATCTATCAGCTGGCCGGTTTGTTCACCATGCCGCGGCTGGCCCACGGCTGTATCCAGTATTTGGACTACAAGATTAACAAGCTCAACGTTCTCGAGGCGCTCTACAATGCGGACAAGAGCAAGTGAGTGGTGGCGTCTATATATTAATATTTGGATTAAAACTTTGCTTAATTTCCTTGCCCTAAGGAATTGAAAGTAATTAATTGTTGAGGAATTTGCTTAGGCCTTTCCCTAATTTCCTTATTCTATAGAAATCGAAGTTCTTTTTGCTAAGGAATTAGCTTAGGGCCTCAAATGATAATAGCATTTGCTTTAAATTTTGTAAAGATATTTTCTTAGCTTTTAAATTGAATTTTTAATTAAAGCAATCAAATCTTAATTTTTTCCTACTAAGAGGAAAAATAATTGAGTAAAACAGTGCAGTTTTTTTTCGATTCTAGTCAAATAAATGCTTTAGAATATTAATATTTGTTTATTAGAATGTTTATGCAATTGCATCAAATGTGCTTGATTCCCTTATTCTAAAGAACTCGAGGCATAAATAAATTTTATAAATTCCATTGTCCCAAAGATTTTGAGGAATTTTTTTTGGTAAAAGATTTCTTTAGAGCTTTCTATAATTAAAACAAACAAATTGTGGGTTTTCTTACTTAGAGAAAAAAAGGGAAAACAATGCGGTTTTATTCGATTCGGAATTTTTATACAGTTTAATAAAATGTCCCTATTCTTAAGAATTTGAGGTATTTGTTAGGGCTTTCATTGCTTAAAGAGCTTTTATACTTTTTTATACTTAAAGATAATATAAATGAGTAAAACAATGTATTTTTGTTTGTATGCCATGTAATCAATTACCCTTTAAATTGTTATATTAAACTAATATATTTCATCACTTTTCACTTTAGCATTAAGATCATCAAAGATCACTGCATGCAGTTCATCATCAAGGAGGAGAACTATACCGAGGTGGTAATGTCCAGTGAGTTCAGCGATTTGGACAAGGCTCTGCTGGTCGAGATCATCCGCAAGCGTCTGCATCCCAGCAAGCTGGTGATGGACACCAGTTATGAGGCCAACATAGGTGAGATTTTATAAATAAAGTTCCAAGTGCTTAGCTTTGCTAACAATAACACAATAGGAACTACATTGGAGATCGACCTGTGCGCCTTTTTGGAGTCAACTGGCAACGATTTCTGCGATATAAGCCTCGTCCTGGAGGATCATGTGATACCGGCCCACAAGTCGGTGCTGTCATCGCGTTGTACCTACTTTCAGGGCATGTTCCGATCGTTCATGCCCCCGGATAATAAAGTCAATGTGAGTCGAACTCTTTATATTCCTAGGTATTTAATGAATGGTCATAATTTTTTTTTAAATTGAGTTTGTAAACAAGAATGAATGTAATACCCCCTCGCAATCATATAAAAAATATATGAATGATTTAGGACTTACTCAACTCTAGGGATGGATCCTAAAAAAAACTACTAAATTTACCGAATCTTATCCGAGGATATAGACATTCGATCACAAGATCTTTTTACATGATCAGTGTACACATAAACAAATTCGATTTGGAGTTTTCTATGTTGATAGTTTTTACACTACAAACAGCATTGAACCATATATATATCGTATTTTGTTTAGAGCTTTCAATGGCTCTAACAAATCTTGATTTTTCGTATTAAGAGACGAAATAAATGAGTAAAACAAGCCTTCTTTCGATTCAGAATTGTTATGCTGTTCAATCAAATGTGTTCAATATTTCCTTATTCTTAAGAATTCGCGTTATTTCTAGGGCTTTCAATTATTAAACAAAACTGGAAAATCCCATTGGTTTTCTCTTTTTAAACAAAACTGCGAAATCCCATTGGTTTTCTCTTTTTAAAACCTGTCGTAAGCCTTACATGAAGACAAGAAAGGACGGCTTAAAAGCAAATTTACCTCTTTTTGCTTTAAATCAGATCCAAATTGGCGAAATCTCACCCTCGCTGGAGGCCTTCCACTCGCTGCTGCGGTACATTTACTATGGCGAGACGAAGATGCCGCCGCAGGATGCACTGTATCTGTTCCAGGCGCCCTGCTTCTATGGCCTGGCCAACAATCGGCTGCATGCGTTCTGCAAATACTCGCTGGAGCACAACATCACGTTCGAGAATGTGCTGCAGACTCTGGAGGCATCGGACATCACCAAGATCTATGACATCAAGGAGTATGCGCTGAAATTGATCGTGAAGGATTTTGCGAAGGTCGCTAGGCTGCCGAAAATTTGCGGTTTGTCGCGCGAACTGTTGCTGGAGATAATACGCGCTGTGGCCGATTCGCACGGCGAGTTCCTAACGCGCATCAATATCAATACAGATATCTGAAAACTGGTGCTGCTCCAGCCGGCATTGCAGTTGTTGCTCGCCTGGTTGCAAATCGGACGTAGCACGTAGTGCGGCAGTAGCGGTTGGCAGCGCCGAACGACACACACTACCACCACCTACAACCCACCACATAACAACCTACCACCCACCACCATCAATCAATCGATCGATTTGTTCAGTGATCCTCCACAGATCCACAAACGCCGATTCCCTGGAGCAACTGCATCGGGAAGAGCGAGAAGGAGCGATCGTAATTCATACATAAATCAGATGTATACCTAACTATTCTTAAGCTGGATGTAAACGGGCATCGGTAATACTGCAGTGTGCAGCCTCACAGCTGATGCACCGTCTACACCCAGCTTTATATAAATATTACCCCTATATGCACTCCAGTATTAACCCAAAACACGCATCTCCGAGAGATTCAAACGCATTGGGCTGCAACTACTAGCCATTTACAGTTGCGGTCAAAATAATAACTGTTTTTTAGTTTATGGAATCAATTAAAGTTTAAAAGTAACTTTAAAAATATTATTGGTTGCAATTTTCATAAGCTAATAATGATTGATAAAAAATGTTTTAAATTTGTAATTTAACAATAAGATATTGAAAAACATTTTAATGGTTTTTGATATATGGTTATATTCCTCTAATGTTATAAAAAAGTTATATAAAAAAACGTTTTTGCACTTTACATTGCCGCACTACTATTATTTTGACCGCATCTGTAAGCTTATGCGAAAAGTCAAAAATAGAGTTGAACTTCCCCGTTTAGCAACTAAATTGGATTTTTGTTATCATCTAGCTAGAAATTATAATGGTTTGTTCCAGAAAACTACTTAAAGGACAGAAAATGCAAAGATTTAGTTGGTTTCTTATGTACCTTCAAAGAAGTTCGACTACTACCTTTGTAGTTTTAAAGCAGGACTCTAAGGAAAACAATTTTTATGTTAAACCAGCTGTCTATTCAACGTTGAAAAAAGCAGGTGAGTGTGGTTATTATTTTAAAATACAAAACATAATATAATTCTTTTTTCAGAAAATCTTCGCCTTTGCTTTAATTTGAAAAAACTGAATTCATTACACTGAGCGGAACAAAAAAGGTCCTGTCTTAGTTTAATATATTTGCCAAAACCAATCTTTTAATTCGAATATCCTTGCGAAGTTAAGTGCTTAGAAAAATCCAACGAAAATAGAGTAGGTATTTTCTATATTGAAATTAGTCAGTCTGCATGTGAAAATTTGTTTCAGTGTTTTTAAGAACCGTTTTTTGAAGTACCTTAACTATTCAGTATTCCAAAGTCTGGTATATTGGATAACCTACTTTGCAAGGGTCCTTAAAGTCTTCCCTTCTTATTATACTATATACTCCTACCCAAGTACAACTTACTAGTTAATAAGGATCTAAACCTAATCGTGTGAACTCGTATTTATCTCTCTCTATATATATACATATATAAATATATATATATGTATATGAAAGCCGTACACTGTATGTTCTATGCTAAGTAACCTTTGACCTTTATCCACCTCATCCCACATTCATATGCAGAATCACCCCAAAAATGAAAAACAAACAAAAAAAGTTACTCAAAGCTAACGTTTTGGCCAAATTGGGATACGATTCTTTGATTTAATTATAGCGTTTATATTTTCTTAATGCTTAATGCTTGCCCAAAAGGAGTTTTGATTTCAAATATCTATACATGTATATTCTAATTTCCGAAATTGTGATAAATCAGTTTTTATTATGATTGTATTGTGACGTTTTGTTAGAGCTGGAAAAGCAATTTCGCTAGGAATTCCATCTCAAGCAATTTAATTTTGAATATTTTCGTTATAATTTCGTTTTAGTTGGCTGTACATGACGAAAATTCAGAATAAACAATATTATAATATATATGGAAACTCACTCTATTGTCGTATGCTAAATGGGAAATGATTGTGGTTTTGCCGCAGAAACGAAGGAAAATAATCGAGTTTAACACAAACAGAAGAGAGTTTTCCTCCGGCTGGCTTGGCATAGATAATTTCATTTCAATGAAATTAAAACAAAACAAAGGCTGCCGTCGGATGTGTTGGAGCTGTCAGAAAAAGGGAAAAACGGGTGGCAGACTGGAGCCAAGGCCAGGACGAAATTACAAAATCAAATATGCTGCAAGCAGGATCTTCTCTTCGAGATGAAAACTGCCACTTACAGATACATCTGACAGTAAGTCGAATTGAAATTTTGCTATGGAACCAGGCTCTCCAGGTGGAGCCCATCCCGTTCGGTATTGCATATTTATGAGGCCATTAGTGCTCAGAGCCCTTCGCATCCTTCACATCCTTGGCATTTGGAAATGGTCAAGGCTTTAACTGCAGATTAGTGCAGCTCGGTGGGAGAACTTGTTGTGAATACTCGATTGGCTTATCGGGGCATTTGCATGTTAAACAGAAGTTGGCGTAGAAGATCGATTAGTCGGATTACTTTCCAGAGGCGTGGCTATTTTTGGACCCATCAAATATTCAACGAATATCAAGAACAGGTATTTATATTAATTAATACATAGTTTAAGCGGAAATAATTGATGAAGGACAATTTCGTTTTTTAATAAGTTGGAGTATACTTTGAATTTTATTAACGCAATAATAAATAATAAAAACGCAAAGGAACGATATATTCAATATAGATATATATATATATTTATAAATATAACGTTCCTTTGCATTTATATTATTCATAATTGAATTAATATATATATATATATATATATATATTAAAAATATAATATACTGAAGGGTCTACAGTACAAGCTTAGAGCGAGCGGCACCCCCGCCACCGGTATAAGTTTTTTCACTCTCCTAAATACATGAAATTCGTTTTTCAAATATAAAGTGACGTCATAATAACCAATTTTCCAATATCTTCTAAAATAATGATTCGACATGGTAAATTTTTGGCATGTCGATTTATATTGAACTTAGCTATTAATTTGAAAATAAAAAAAGGCCACATTCGATTTTATTATTTCAGGGATTCAGGGATAGATATTTATTTATTTTGTAAGAGTAGGATTCTTTAAACCCTTGTTTTCCCCCTGCATTACTGCCTTTTCACCCCATCCCCAGCACCCGTCACCCAGCTATCGCTTATCGTTTGCCAAACAAAATGTCAATTATCTGAGCCGGGAAATAGGGACTTGTGAGACCCTTGGCCGAAATTCTAGCCGAGATGGTTAACCCTTCTTCGTCTGACAACAAAACAAATCCAGAGGAAGGGGAGTCCAAGCATTCCATGGCCCGCTGTCAATTTATAAGTTCATAATTTAAGCCAACAAAGCCAACAACAGGGATCCGAGTCAATCAGCTATATAATACATAGTCAGTACGGATGGATGTGGAGGGTTAAGGCAAGAGGTAGAGGTAGAGGAGGCTTAGGACTGGCTCGTTTCATGCTTTTTAATATCCGTTTCATGTGGATTTATGCGCATCAAGTTCACGCTGAGCGACGGCACATAAATTTCATGGCAATTGAAGCAGTCGAACCGAAAAAATAAGGAGAGCATCTATAGGCTGATGTATCAGACCTTGAGGTACTGATTAAAATAATTAAATAAATGACAAAATATTTGACTAAAAACAATGCCTCTCTTAAGAATCCATTTTTTTGTGACGCTGCTTTTTTATGATTTTTTTCTTTGGTATTGGTATTTTTTTTAAATCCCACATTAATTATAATTTTTAAATTTTTTTAAAAATCCCGAAATGATAAGTTTTTTGAGCAAAAAATGTAAAAAAAGGCACCCTTTTTTTGTTAAAAAAAAATTTTAATTAATATAATTTTAAAACTAAAAGACATTTGTAAGTCCAGTATACCCGTGTTAAGCCAAATAAGTTGTGGGTAAGATAAAAAAGGAAAGGGCGCGAAAAAGGAAAACTACTCCCCTCCAAAAGGGTTAACTGAATTGGGGGCTTTCAGGGGGAAAGGGGGCTCTGAAAATGGACTGATTTCAGGGTTAGCCCCAAAATTGACTTTTGGCATTTTTCAAAGTTTTTCCCGCATTGCCGCTTATTGATGCCTCGACCGTTGTGCGCCAACTTCGATTAATTTATAGCGATAAGTATTTGTATCCCGGTCATGACCAAAACCCCGCAGCCTCCCTTTCACCATGGACTATGCCTCTGGATTCTCGTGCCACGCATAAAGTGTCATTTCAGGCTCTGATGCCTGATTAAAGTCATCAATTTTGGAATGGAAGGGATTCGAGGCGAGGATTGTCGGAGGATTGTGCTGGAAAGTGCAGATGCAGCAAAGCTTAATTAAAAAAGCTGCTCCCCCTGAATTACAGCCCCTCTTTTTACGCGCACACCCCTGTGCAATTGAAGTTTAATTGGCGTACGAACAGCCAAAGGTGAAATGGGACAGATATGTAAATAAATGGGTGTACAAGTTAATACGGGTCTCGTAACTCAGGTGAACTGCTTTATTCCTTAAGCCAATGTAACTAATTGTACAGATATAAAATATTTCCATTTGATATTTAATCATTTTTGCTTAAGTTAATTGGTTCAAAAAGATACATACATACATATTTTACAGTTTTTTTTCTAATAATAAAGCACCGGAAACAATTCTCACACCGTTCTTACAAACTCATTGAAATCCTATTTACTGTTAAGGAATTAAAAAATAAAGATGTGAAAATATTTTGATTTACTGTTTAAGTAGATCCTACTTACAGCATCAAAATAAGCTATCATAAGCAAGACGCGAATTCTTCAGCATACAGTTCATCAAAATACAAGATCTCTAGGATCGCGTAGTTTTTGGGAATTATAAATCGGTGATTGTGAGACACAAAAACATTGCTGCAACTCTGATTTAAAACACGAGTTCTTCAGCAACAGCTTATCGAAATACCATTTTCAGTACTGGAATGTAAAAAACTCGTGTGTTAGTGATGTATTCAACTGTTTAACTAGATCCCACTTACAGCATTTAAATAAGCAACCACTATACGCGAATTCTTCAGCTAACTCATCAAGACTGAGCAATTCTGCAGTGTTATAGTTGCCATACCAACTGTTATACCCCAACAAAGAGTAGATATTGAGGAGCAGGTGAAGCGTGGAGATGCAGACATGTTGGCATCGCCATGGGGTACACACGGACCAACAAGGACCTATTGGTGATGAAGGGAAAAGGACATGGGGGGAATATCGGATGCACGACGAGGATGCAGATGGAGATGGTGATGTGATGAAAGGCAACGCCAACGAAAACGAAACACGAAATGGCAGCAGTTGAAAAGTGTGTGACAAATACAAATCGCTTTAGATTTATTCGATGAAATTGTTTGATGATGTAGAAAAGGATTAACGCCAATGAAAGCTGATCCTTTGTCGACTCTGGCGGCTGTAAAAATTGATTTGCACTTGCGGAACGAAAACGAAGGTGGAGCAATGACATCTCCCAATGATAGATCGAGCTTTGAAGAACGGATTACTTTACTTTACAAAATAAACGCTTTAAGACGGATACGCGAATTCTTTAGTACAAATAAGCTACATTATTCATTCTAAGAATTTCCCGTAGTAAATATGTTTAAGTTTTTTTATTTAAGTTTATTTTAATGCTGCTGACTTCAGATCACTTCAAATACATGCGGTACATGTGTTCAAGGCTATACCTTAAAGGTCTCCAAATCCCTCTTTTTAACTCACCCCTTTCGAGGAAATCGTGTCTTATGCAACGACTTTTGAATTATGTGAGAAATCGCTGGTGAGGTTTGACTTCGAGGTGGCCGTTTGCGTTTGGGTGGGTGGCATAGGCCTGTAACCCCTGACCTCACCCCTTCCGATATAATCGTCGACGCATAAATCTCAAGACCTGCCCGGCGGCTGCAATTTACGGCACGGCCGTAAATTTTTATAAATGTCCTTGTAAATAAACTCGCAAATATGCTGATTTAGCATATTTCTGATATATGTATGTCCACATATTCTTATGTGGGTGTGTGTGTGTCTGTAAGTTGGGGGCGAGCCCCACGCCTGTGGTTTATGCCATGTGCTATGTGTGAGGCAGTTTTATTGCGCGGGTTTTTGTTCCTGCGCCTGCTGGGTAGCAATTGAGAATGTTGGGCGCTCCAGAGAATTGTTTTGTGTGTGGATATAAATAATAAATAATAAAAACCCAAAGGAACGCTGTATTCAATTTATATGTATATATATATATAAAATACTGATGGGTCAACAATACAAGCTTAGAGCGGGCAGCACTCCCGACCCCGCTAAAAGTTTCTTCCGCTCTCCAAAATATATGAACTTCGTTTTTCAAATATAAAGTGACGTCATAATTACCATTTTCCCAATAACTTCTGAAATAATGATTCAACTTAGGACATTTTTGGCATGTCGATTGATATTGACCAATTAAACATAATAACTGACCGCTACCATATCTCAGAGTTACATAAAAGAATTTTTAATTCCACTGCGTTGGGTTTTAAGATATCGAATGTAAAATAAGAATTAAAAATCCTTTTCCAGGGCCTTCCACCAGTCGACTCCCAAAGTTTCAGTAGCTCACTTTTCGTTTGTTTTATGCCTTATTTTATTTTCCTTTGATTTCGTCGTTTTCCCTCAAGGGAGCGCGGAAAGAGAAAAGCAACAAAAAGAAACAAAAACAGAAACAAAAAAATTAAGAATATTTCGCGATAAATAAAAAATGAAAATTTTATGTTGCATTAACTTTTGTTGGCATTGTCGAGTCGCATAAACAAAAGCATATGTGTAATAAAATTTATGCATATAAACAACCGATGGCAGCCCACAAAAAACCAGCACAACAAGCAACAACGACAGACAATGAAAAGCGAGTTAAATATTTGATAAAGCAGCCGTGAAGTTCGCCATAATGTCTGTTG